GTTGTCAATGATAAATCAAATTCATTATATTTTCTACAGATATCTTCGATAATATTTGTATATTGTGGTATTACTAAATATAGAAGATCTTCTGGACGAAGAATAATTGGTAATAATATACAAACGGAATTTTTTGTAAAATTTTTAAGTTGATTTTGTGTTATGGTTAAATTTTTACTAAGCATTTCTATACATTCATAGATATTTAACATATTGATTCTAATTGTTTTTTTCCATTCTATTATTTTATCTGTCATCTGAGCAATACCATTATAATTTGAAATGAGGGAAAAATCTATTTTTAACTGTTCATAACGAAATTTTGAATAAGCAGTTAAAATATTACCTTTAACTAAATTATCTATAATTATCGTTGTATCAGTTGTATGATTTACATTCAACGTTTTAGGTGTTGCTAATATACGTTCGACTTGAAATGCTAAATCATCATTTAAAACAGATAAAGTTATTTTTAACTCATCAATTTTGTCCGATTTTTGTAATAAACTAATAGCATTCGTCCATGTACGACTGGAAATTTGTGAATCTGTTATATTGATCAACTGAGTAAGGGTAATTCTATCTTGAACAGTTTTAATACCATTACTAATATTATCTTGAATATCTTTAAATCATTTTCATGATTCTCTATACTTAAACTATTGCTATTCAATTTAATATCTTCGACATTAATAGTTTCAATTGGATGATCTGATGGTAAATCAATATGACTTAATTCAATATGATTTAATTCCATTTTAAATTTATCCAGTAAATCTTGTAAGTGTTTTGGTTCTTGTAATAATGAATTTAAATCATATTCATTTGTATTTCTGTCCGGAACAAATTGCTCCATTTTCAATAATGTTGTACGTATTCGTTGTATAATATGATGTGGACGAATAGGCAATTGACCGGCATTATTCATTATTTCTTTAACATCACGAATAGCTGCAGCAATTTTTTGTTTCTGCTGTTGTTTTCGATATTCTTCAGGATCTTCTATAAGAAAGTTATTTTCATTAGAATCTTGATCATTATCATGACTATTCGCTTTGGACTTTTTATTTTGTCTATCATGACGAAATAATGGTGTAATATTTGTTAAATAACTATTTAAAAAAAGAAATTTTGACCAAAATTCTTGTGGAAAATTTAAATTTTGTAAACATTCATTAAATTCTATCTGAATATCTTTGAAAAATTGACTATTATATTTTACACGTACGATAACATAATCATCAATAAGATCAACATGTTTTAATATTTGTCTAAAAATCGTTTCAAATAAAGTTATTGTTTTAAGTGTTGTTGTATATAATGTTTCAAGAAAATAAGTTGATCCATAAATAACATGTTGTGTAGTTAATTTTAATATTTTTTTACTATTATCAATAAATTCAAATAATAATTGAAATTCAATTTCATTTTCATTATTAAGTGCTTGACCAACTCCATACCGAATATGATTTTCAATCTTTTTTGAACAACCATAATTATGTGCTAAATTTTTTAAATAAGCTAATGATGCTATTCGACTACTAATATTTGGTAAATCTAATGTTTTTACGAAATAATTCAAATCTTGATGAATTATTTCAACATTTGGTTGAGTAAATACATTTTGATATGGTTGTAATAGATTATGTAAAAATTTAATTGCACTCCATTCTGTTATATCAAGTGTGTATATTTTTGGTAAATCATTTTTTGTTAATTGCTCTAAATTTTGATAAATAACTTCATCGATGGGTTTTCGTTCAATAGTATTATGTTGTGTAAATTCTTTGATTTGAGAATATAAATTTATTAATTCTTTGTATGTTTCGTGTGAATTTATTTCTGATTGTCCATATTTCATTTGTAAAGAATGCAAACATCCAAAACTAAATTGATCTTGTTGATTTTCAACAATATTTGGACTGATATGTAATTGTTCTTGTTGAATTTGAATATTCATTGTTGTTTCAGCAAGAATTTCTCGAAATGTTCGATCTAAATCTTGTATATCAAAATTACATTGTAAACATGATATTATAATATCAACTAAATTTCGATGTTTATTAATTGTTATCATATAACAATTTTGAGGATTACAATCCGGACAAAAAAATAATAGTAAGTTTTCATTATCACTCGAATTAAATAGATCAACTTCTTTCAATTCATTTAAATTAGAAAAAACAAATAATTTTATCGGTAATGATATGAATATTGACGTAAAAAAGAAACTGATAATAAATAGAATAACTGGATTATCTAATAATTTATCATTTTCCATTAATGTTTTACCAAATTGTGATGTTAATGCTGCTCGAAGATCTAATGTACCATCAGATTTTACTATTGAATTCATTTGTTTTAAATCAAATAATTGACGAATAATTTCATTTATACTTGATATTGATTGTTGGTATTGTCTAATAAAATATTTGGTACTTTCTAATCCAATTAATTCCTGTAATTCTTTTTGTAAATTAGCTATAACTTTAGTTGTTTTTTCTAATTCTCCATTTTGTCTTGTTTCAATATTTGCAAATTTTTCTTCTAATCTGTATTTTTCAGTTTTTAGTGTTTCACAAATAATTTTTAAGTCATTTAATCGATCTTGCTGGTTTAGAGTACCAGCATCCGGATCCCAAAGAGATCCCATTCGTTTTAGTTTATTTTTCGAGGTTGTTGACAAAGATTCAGAAGATATCATTGTTTCATTCAATATTTGATCTAACTTATTTTTTTCTTGTATTTTTCGAATTTGTTCTTTAAGTTCGATAATTTCTCGATGACATTTCTCATATTCTTCTCTTTTTAATAATAAATCATTTTTAATTGTTGTATAATTTCTTTCAATATCTAAATATGTTGTTTCCGATGGAAGCTTTTCCATAATCATTTGTACAATATTACAAAGACGATTTGATAATTCCCAACAAGAAAATTTTGTTTCACATTCATTAATAAAATCTAATGAAAGACAAATATTTTTTGTTAATGCATCTTTAATTGATGTTGTTAAGTATTTTTCAAATGTCCATTGTAAACCTAGCCATTCCAATAAAATATAGTAATGTTTAATAGGTTGTGTATCTGTTTGTGTTGTAATTAAATGTGTAAATAATTTACGAAAATCTTTTCGTGTTGTTCTTATAGGATTTTTTTCTGCATGATCAACTGCCCATAATACACTTGTCTGATTTAATAAATGTAAACGAAAATTTTGTTTTGTATTTAAAAATGCTTCATCATCAAATATATTATATGATAATAATTTTGTTTTAAATGTTAATATTGATCGTAATTGATATATAATATTCTTACATAATAATATAATTGATGGTTCATATTGACAAAATAATTTTGATGAATAAAATTTTGTAAATATTTCAATAATAGTTAAAAGTCGTTGTAAAAATAATTTACGTACAATTGTATCACTAAAACATGTATTTTGAAAAAATATATCTAATAAATAACGTAAACGATCATAAACTATTTCAGATGATTTAATTTTTTCTGAAAGTAATAATATACTATTAACTGTTGCTGCTGATGTATCTTGAATTATTGATGTTATTAATTTTTGTTGTTCAATATCGTTTAAAATTGTTTGTACACATTCATAAGTATCATTTCCATCAATATCTTGCATTATTTTTTGTTTCATACCGGTTAATTCAGAATTTTTTGTTGGACACATACGTGATAATATATCATCCAAAAATAAATAAATAAAATCTTTTGTTAATTTCAGTTTTTGTCTATCATTGGATATTAATTTTAATATTGTAAAACCGATTTGTGTTAAAAATTGTTCAATTTGTATAAATTCTGTGCGAATTTTTTCTGAATCTTGCATCCATAACGGTTGATTTGTTAAAACCTTTTGTGGTGTTGAATAAAGTGGTAATGAAATTAAATTTAGTTCAATCATTGTTGATTGCAAATCATTTATAAATATTTGATAATGTTTATGATCTTTTAATGATGAAGAATATGAACGTATTATAGACCAATAACATGCATCAACAGCACTTACTGGATTAGTACGATCTTCAACACGATAGAGTAAAGTTTTTACACATTGTTCAATAATTCTATAAGTTATATCAAAATCACTTGGATATTGTATTTTACCATTCAGTAAATTTTCTTTCACTTTTACATGTGTCATAAGTATTAATTGTGCTAATTGATTACCAGCTGGTATGGTTGATAAATTTGCACATACCAATTCATATAAATCACTTGTTTTGATATTTGTTATGTGTAAATCAGAATCCATTGATGGTAACCATAATCGTATAACACGATTTAGAAATGCTGATGATAATTTATTTGTATAAATACGATTAAGATTAGCTGTTGTAAATAGACGAAAATTTTGATGTATTCCACCATTTTGTTGTGTTAGGATTTGTCCATTAGAATTTTCATATAAATTTAATATTGGATTATCTTCAGTTAGTGAATTCAAACGTTCTAATACTTCTGATGGTGCACTATTAACATTATCTAAAAGTACCCACCAACCTTCTCGAATAGCTTCAACAAATTCTGATTCAACAAAAACAAAACCCATTTCATGTTTTGCTTTTGTTAATTGTGACATTTGTAACTTTTTTAAATAAAAATCTGTTTGTGATAAAAAGTGAGATGTGAGTTTTTTACTACGAATCGACATTTGTGGAATTTTCATTATATTTTCAAGCATTGTTTTTGTTTGTTGAAGTGCCTGAATTTCATATGTTATATTATCATATTGTTCATCATTTACTATTGTCCCTGTTCTATGTCGAAGTATTTCTTTAAATTTAGTAAATATTATTTGATTACTTGTTTCAGACCATAATGGCATACAGGTTAAAAATAACATTTTAATAATATCTTTAAATAAATTATCGATTTTTGTTTGTAATGTATTATTATGACTTGTTGAATACATACTGGGTAACCATGAGCCAATTAGATCTGATGTTTCATAATTTTCATTTAGTGGTATAACAATAAGACGATTACGTGTTACATGTGCTAATTCCATAACTAATGATGATTTTCTTGAGCATATATCACCTTCTAATAAAATTGATCGTTTCGATTGACAAGCTGCTGCTAATAATTCCAATTGCTGAATAGTTAGTTTTGTGTGTACTAAGTTGGTGAATGAAGAATCTGGTTCTTCAGTACCTGTTTTGATATATATTGAACCAATACGAACAACATTTGCAACTGATGTATCAATGGATAGATCTTGTTCACGTGCAGTTAAAGCTTCATTTATTTGAAATTTTTCTTGTATTAATTGGCGAGTACGTTGATAATCTTCATGACCATGAAATTGACATGCATAGACAACTTCAGCAAATTTTCTAATAGACAACATTCTTGCATCAGATGTTTGCATTTTTTCTTCTATGAATTTGATACTGTTGATATTGTTAGATTTGTTTCTTGCGATTCTTCACTAGTTTCATCTGTATTAAAAAATCGATAATGAAATATTTGATCTTTGATACATCCACGAAATATATCACGAAATTTCGATAAATCTCGAAGATTCATTTCATATGGACCACCTGTACGCCCTAATTGACCTTCATTGATTTTTTGTTTTAATGTTGTATGAAGGTTAAATAGAGTTTTAAGATGATCTTCTGTAATATTTTCTTCTTCAAGATCATCATCAAATAGAGATCCTAATATTGCACTTAATTCATCATTGTTATAATCTTCTAGTTGTACGGTGGTAAATAAATTACTGATCGATCGTGGCAATTTACTACGTCCACCACCGATTGTTGTTGGATTCATAGTGGCAAAAATTAAAATATTAGTAGTTTCGATCGTTTCACCAGTGCTAGGTACTGTATAGGTATGAGTATCACGATAGAGTAGTGGTATTAAACCTTCTAATACTTCTGGTGCTGCTAAATTTAATTCATCTAAAAGAATCCATTTTTTTAGTCTCAATGCACTTAATATTTTTCCATCTTGCCATTCAAATATTCGTCGTCCATTTTCATTACATCTTGGAATAATACATCCAATAAGTTGATCTAATGATGTATTTGCTGATAAATTAATACGTTCACATTGTTTATTAAGTAACTGACATACTTGTGTAACAACTTGTGTTTTACCTACTCCTGGTGGTCCTTCAAGTAATAATGGAGTTTTGGATGATGTTGCTGCAAATATTCGAGCTATTTGATTTAATAATGTTGGTGTAGGTACACAATAAAAATTTTTTTTCAATTGTTCTAATGTACATTTATCATCTTTTGACATTTGATATCGTACACCAGTATATTTCAAACTAACATAATCAGATTCAACATCAAATGGAAATGGTGATACATGACGTTCTTTTGGTTTTTCAAAAATTTCAGAATATTGTTGTGGATTAGTTATTGAGATAGGCGGTTTTAAATTTTCATACCATTGTGTATATATATCACTTTGTCTACTTACAGGTAATTGATCAAAATAATAAAATTTAGCACCTAAAATTACACGTTTTTCTAATGATATTGAATGGTGTTGATTACATATGAAATCAATCCAACGAAATAATAAGTGTATATCATTGCCAATTTTCCATTCTTTATCTTTTATTAATGTTTCACGTATTGAAAACATGATATTAACTAATGAATCAAGAGTTTGATGGCTTATTGATGATGATTTTCGTTTTAATTCGGATTTAACTATCCAGTTCAAAGCTTCAAGTTCATATTTTGGTATTTGTATTTCTGTAAATCGTGAACGTGTTGCTGGACTTAATTTTAATAATTGATATTCATGATCTTGATGTACACTTGCAAATACTTGAAAATTTGAAGATAATTGTATATTTAATTGTCCTCTATTTCCATCATTTGTAGAATTACTTGTTGTAATATCTTCAGTGAGCGCAAATGTTGGTGTTGGTTCTAACATTGAATTTAATCTTTCAATTACAGCTTGACTTGGTACATCGAGATCTTCCAAAAATAAAACTGAACCTTGTTTTGCTGCTACAGTAACTGGACCATCTTGAAATAAAAATATTGGTTTTGTTCGATCGAATTGAGGATCTTTTAATTTATTCCATATTGATTCAAATTTATTAAAATAATCTTGATATGTTGTATCCGATAAAAATGTAGAAAAATTTTTCAAACGAAATAAACGTTTAATTGTATCAAGTAATTGAGCCATATAATCATGAAGACTTTCGGGAAATTCAGTATTATCAATAAGATTTTCTTCTTGTATTGGTTGGGAAGTTGTAAACGATGGAATATCGTCAACAAACATAGATGTTGGACCATATGTGAAACCATCGTTAATTTCATCATCGCTTGTTATGATAGGACCAGGAAGAGTGGTACTATCATTTGTAGAGTTGAAATAATTGATAACGTCATACCCATCATCGAGTTCTGTCATGGTATTATCTTTTATTACAGTATCTACTGCAGTATTCTGTTGTGTCATCATTTCATCACCAAAACCATCATCAAGAACAGAAAACTGCTGTTCGCTTGCCATTGTTGTCGATTGTTCTGGATAATATCCATCGTCAAGCTCTTCTATTGCGTATGATGGCATATCATTAGCGTTATGAGTGTAATTAGATGATAAATACGTATCGTCAAAACCTGTATCAATATCTTCAGTATAATAATTTTTCATTTTTGATTTGCTTATGTTAGAATCGGTATTTATAGTTGAACTGTCTTGTTTCATTTCATAATTATTTAATTCTGGTATATCTGGAAACACGTTAGATTGTACAGCTGCTAAATTATTATTAAATTCTTCATTTTGTTGTCGTCGCTTTTCATTTTTAGTATAAAGTAATTCAAATTCTTCAATAGCTTTTGGTAATTCATCTTTAACTAATTCATGTATTGCTTTTAGAGCCATAGCATTATCTTCAGATAGATCACCATTATCATTATTTCGACAGAGAGTTACAAGTCTTAAACGGATATATTCAGCCATTAATGGTAATCGTTTAACTAAATCCATAAATGAATATGGATGAATTTCGCCAATAAGTTCACCAGCTTCAGTATCCGGTGTTAAATGTACTTTAATTAATTCATCTTGACGATTACTAATTCTTGCCCATGTTTCAACTAATAATGTTTTACATGATGTCGGCCCCACTAATAGAATCGGTTCTTTTGCTTGTACAGCAAATGCAATTCGAATTAATGAACGTTTGAATGAATCTGGTGGCGTAAGATTCATTTCTGAATTCCAAAGAAAACTTAAATTTAAATTAATTCGTTTCACATCCATCATAAGATCACCGTCTTTAAAACTGACAATATTTTTATTTTGGTCAAAGTTACTATCTTGTAGAGTTCGATGTATCTCTTTTATTTCTATTGGATAATCATCTTTGGGTGATAAAGCACCATGTTGAGGCCAAATTGTTTTAAAATCTTTAACTAATTTCTTTCGTGTATCAGAATCTGGTGCAAATTTTGAACATAATAATGATGACCCAACAATAGGCCATAAGTCTTTGTTAGTTGAAAAGAGTGCATGTCTATGTAACCATTTGATCAGCTCGCGAAATGTAATACGATACGGTTCTTTGATTACACAGTGATAGAACTTGGCTAAATCTATTGTTGTTTTTTGTGTCAAACATTTCGGTTTTTGTTTATCAGGTTCTGTACGTTGATAAATAATATAAGGTAATTCATCAACTGGAAAATCTTGAAATTGTACTTCAAGAAAACGATTTCGTAAAGATACTGGTAATTGATGTCGATTAGCATAAGATGCATCATTTTGTGTAGCAAAAAAATGAAAACCAGGTTTAGCTGTAATTATTTTTCCACTACTTGGTATTGTTATAGAATTTTTATCTTCTAATAATGGAAATAACATATTCATGACACTAGGATCAGCTAAATTAAATTCATCAGCTAAAAACCACCAACCATTTGTCATAGCACGATATAATGCACCTGGTTGAAATATAAATCCATCATTAACAGGCAAAAATGCTCCAGGATAATCTTGTATAGTTGTTGTATCAGTATTATTTACACGTTCGAGTTTAGAATTGTCTCTATGATCTTTTTTTAAATTTTTACGAAGATAGGAGATTAATGCAGTTTTACCAACTGCAGCTGGTCCTTCTAAAAGTAATGGAATACCACAAGCAGTAGCACCAAGTATACCATTTGCATATTCTTTTCTTGATTTTGTTAGAACATATTCATTATTTTGTTCAATTGAAATTTCAGTAAAATCTGGTTGATTTAAAGTTATATTTTGGTCTTTTGATAATAGTTGTTGAATTTTTGTTGATAATTCGTTTTCAATTGTTTTATCCTTTATTTGATTTGCAATTGTAACATGATAAGCAGTCCATAAGCTTGATCGAAAATCAAGTTTAGTCTTTTGTTGTAATAAATATGTACTATCCAATAATCGTACAATATTTCTTAATGTTAATTTTGGAAAGTATTCTTTATTTTTCATACAAATTAACAAAATTTCTTGCCAAATTTTTAATAAAAGTTGATGATTAACATCATTATTATCTGATAAAACTGCTTTTGATAATTGTAAAATTTCTTGTTCATAATTTTTTTCTAATGAAAGATTTTCCATATGTATAACACCAAAACGATTATAAAGTGCTGGTGATAATTCATTTGATCCACCACTTAAATTTGCTGATTGTTGAGGATCCGGTGGTGTCATAGTCGCTAATAATTGATATTCATCATGCATTATTTCTTCATTAACTTCACCTTTTTCTGTTAAGATCAACATTGGTTCTTGTTCGAGGACAGGATTTAATCGTTCTAAAACAGATGATTCTGCTGTACCTAAATTGTCCAATAAAACCCAATCACCACTTGTATAAGCTTCGGCTACACAGCCATTTTGCCAAATTAATTTTTCTCCATATTTTGGATCATCAGGATCAGTAACTTCATTTGGAATTATTTGACCAATTAATGCCGATGGTTCGGTTTCTGGTGTAATATTTAATTGATGAACATGTTTTGAATAAAACCATGAGAGAGTTAAAAGTAAATCTGATTTTCCACATGCTTCATCACCAGTAACAAGTATTGGTTGTTTGATATACATATTAAAACAAACTTGTTTCAATGTACTTAAGACACGATCAGAAAGAACATAAGGTAGTTCAGCTTTACACAATTGTTGTTTTGGTTCCGAACTAAATGATGGTGTTTGAAATATATCATTGAAATAATTTTCTACCATTTGTTGTGCTTTTTTATGACGAAAACGACATTGATACATTGTACAACCAAGTTCACCTAATTTTGTACGATCTGTTAATATTTTAAGTTTAGCTGCTGCTATCAGCCATTCCCATAACCATGATCGTTGTATGCGATAGATCCCATGTTGTTGAATAAATTCAGTAGTCAATAATTGTTTATGAATAGCAATATGAACTGCTAATACTCGTTTCCATACATTGGGTTCATAATCAATATCATCTAAACCAGCTAATTTAAACGTTCGATTCCATTCTTTCTCAATATTTATTGATTGTTCATCGATTTTTATTGTACAACTTATATCGTCAAAATAAATTTGATTTTTGTTTTGATCAATTTTTATTTTCACATTATCCAGAGCTGGTTCTGGCCAATCACATTTTCTTGGATCAGTTAAAATCTTTTTAATTAATTGTCGACCGACTTTTCGATATCGAGCACCATAAACACACCATGCACTAAAACTTAACACAGGAAGTTGCTGTATATTTTCATTTGGCCATTGATTATGTTCTTTTTGCCATATTACTAATCGAATCCATTTCAATAATTCCCGAATAGTTATTTCAGCATAAGGACCAATTTCTTCGAATTTTGGGTCAGTTCTGTTTAGTTCTCCTTTAACACATTCATTGAATCGTGATACCATAAGTTGTGATAATCCTTCGGCTTGATACGGAAAATATGGAAGTAGTTTATTTTTAACAATTTCAACCCATTCCTGTTTAGGTAATTCGTTAAATATTAATGGACGAAATCTACTTAAGAATGACGATGATAATTTTTCACGTTTTCCTTTAAAAAATCCTGAGTTTGGATTTTGTGTTGCAAATAAACGAAAATTTTTATCCATTCGATGTATAATAATCGGTTCACTTGATGAACTTGTATTTCTAATTGTTAAGTTTTTTGTATCAAGTACTGATTCGATTGCTTGTAAAACAGTATCTTGAGCTAAATTTAATTCATCGAATAACATCCAATAACCTTGTGCAAAAGCTACAGTAAATGGACCATTTATAAATTTAAATACAGTTTTATGAATATTTGCATCATAGACTAATGTTACTTTACCAAGAAGATCATCAATTGTTACACGTGATGACATATTGAAACGTACTAATTGTCGTTGTGCTTGATAAGCAGCTTCAATAATACTAGCACTTTTTCCTACACCGGTACTTCCTTCTAATAAAATCGGAATTGGATCATGCAATGCTTCTAATACTTTTTTAATATTTTCATCTGCTGTCGGTGTTGGAACAAGTCGATTTGGATTCGTGTCTGTTGTCGCTGATGATTGATTGGAAGAATTTATTATTGATGGTAAATATGTTCGTACAATTTTATCTGCTTCATTGACATCGACATTTTTCAAATTGGTTAAAAATTGATCGGCTTTAATAAAATCATGATTTTTCACTTGTATCAATTCGACTTTATTTTCAATCTCAGTTGAAAAAAATGTTTGCTGTTGTTGTTGTTGGGATTTATTATTTGTTTGTTGTAATATTATTTGATTTGACATATCAGCAGATGTACGTTGTGTATTGAGAGCTAGTACTTCTCGTTCACTTTGTGTTAAATCAAGTATTTCGGATAACAGATGAATACCTATTACTTTCAAATCACCTGAACGTCCAATTATTCCCATAATATCTGGTGTAAATGGTGTTAATAATTTAACAAGTGTCTGATATTGTTCTGGTGATTTAGTGATTTGTTTTGAAATACTGGTTAGATGCAATATACAACTTCGTAGCGTAGATACTGATGAAGGTGAACATTCGATGTTATCATGCGTTGATAAATTTTCATCTAACTTGTTGAATAGTTCAACAACTAATGGTCGACTGTCGAACATTGCTTCCGTTGTTGTCGAAGTATCCGATGAATTCCATGATAAAAATAAAAGAATTTGTGCAAATGGACTATTTGATCCAAAATCAATTGTGAATAATTTTGAAATGAAAGCATTATTGAGAAAATTTGCAATATTTTGGTTATATTCAGCATATTTAGGATAACCAATTTCTAATAACATTTGTATTAATCGTTGAATGGCATTCGTATTTGTAGTTTCAATTAATGATAACCAATGTTGTATAATCAAATAGAAATCGGATAAAATAAGATATTTTTGTACTTGTGTATCTTTCAATATAGATTCACTCAAAATTAATATTGCTTGCATATGATTACTAATTATGTTATCATTTATTTTCATACATAATAATAATTCTTGAACCTTTTCATTTGTTAAATGATGTAAATATGTATTAAGTGTACTTGTTGGACAAATTGATTGTTTTATTAATTGTAACCAATATTCTTGTGTTTGTTCATCTTCGTCTCGATGTTGTACGCATCGTTCAATAATATGCTGAATTAAATTATGTTCTGTAAACATACTTATATATTCTAAAATTGTTGTCAATGCTAATCTGTGTATTGACATCGATAATGATTGAGAATTTATCCAGTCGGCATACCATAATACTGTATGCAATTGCATTTTCTTCAAACTTGATATGATATTCGATTTATAATAGGATGGTACTATATCTTTCAATAATAAATAATAATTGATATGACCTGTAGGATTGTGTGATGGTGTATTCATACATATTTTATCAAATAATTGTTCCAATAATGCTTGGTTTTCATTGGAACGTGTGGTGTTTGCTAGAACTTTTTTAACAATTTCAGTAATATGTCCAGAAACGGATTCAATGATATCTTCAGATAAATCTGTCCATATATCAAATATATCATAAATAAAATCGATTAATAATTTCGGTTGTGATGCATCAATATCATTCAAATGATTAAACATTAAATTATTAATTTCACCGTCAAACAAAGATAAATTTTTTAACTCCTTGTATAATTTTAACCATGCTGTATAGGCATAAGCTATATCAACCATACTCAATTGAATCAATGATAATAATTCCAAAAGTTGTTCTTTAGTTGCACAAGCTTCCAATGCCATGTGTACAAGTGGATCAGATCTTTCACGTGGATTAACATTACCATCGCGACATAAATCTTGTCTGTGATCACTCCATGTGATTGATATTGTTTTTGAGCATGAAAATGATTTTCTACCAATTGCATCCTTTTCCACCTTCTTATCTGTACAGTTAGCTGATTCGATTGTTAACGGATCAAAATACAATTTCCATAATGGTACAAAATAATCTTTTACACATAAATATTGTTTCATATTGATAGTATTTGGTTCAGAAAATTTAACACATTCCAATAATAGATTTATTAAGGAATTTATTTCTTTACCAGAACAACTCTGATATTTGAATAATCGAATTAAATGTGTAAGAGTTAGTGGTTTATTGACATCATCTTTTCGACTAAAATAATGAAATATTTATAACATATGTGTTATGTACATGGAAGTTCATATATGAAGACGTAATTATAGTTTTGTTTCTAATTTACTTAATTTAACTTTAAATATTTATAGATCATATTCTTCAAGCAAAACATATTCTCTTACATTTTTGAAAAAAAAATCACAATAATCATTTATCTTATTTAACAGACTTATCTGTGCTTTATATTATGAAGAAAAAAGATCTATCTCAAATTGAGAAGTTTTGTATATGGTTTTGTAGAATATACAGAGACACATCGAATGGGATATATCTATATAATTAAATTTTCCTTCAATTTTTATGATTGAATTTCCTTCATTTCATCCAATTAGAATGTTGTTGTAGATGAGTATACGTTAAACATGTTCATCTTTTCTCTTCCAGTTAAATGACACTAATATTTCTCCTAAAATTCAAGAAAATTATGTACGTGGTATTCCAAAAGAAGTTGAATGAAAACTTGTTGATGATAAATTTATAACATGTAAATGTCCGCTTACAGTAACGGATAAATGATAGAATAGTTTTTTGAACATACACGATGACATTGATAGTGCTACATAAATTGTCTGGAGCAAGAGCTGTAGTCCGAGGTAATATCATTCGGTTCGAAACATGGGTATGAAAAAAATTCGGATTGAATGCGGATGAGAAACTATGCCATTTCAGGACTCTAATCTAAAGGTCTTATTGACACTATCTGTGCTCATTCTTATTCCAATAATCGACAAACAGAAAAAACTTTAATATTCATTTATTAATCAAAAACCAAGAAAATGTTAAAAGTAAGCACGTTCTACAGAGTAAATTTAAAATTAATTTAAAGAACTTTTCATAGTATAAGATCTCGGATTTATTTTGTCTGATCGCCCAACTTCCTTTTTAGTCAAAAATGCATAGAGGATATTCGATGGTTACCTTTCCAAAAGGTTTCCTATAATGGGAAAGATCTTTTATTATGAAAACCTCTTTAATTATATTTCAAGTCATCATTATACATGCTTATATTGATTTCAAAATATTTTATTAACTAACCCAGTTTCACACTTGTTTTCGGCATATTCGGATTATAAATTGATGAATTTTCTATTTTTACTTCTTTCTTTGATTGTTTTTTATATAATTCAGCTGTTTGTTTTTCTAATTTTGTATTTATCTCGCAAAAATGTATTTTAATATCTGCTTTTATTTTTTCATAATTTTGGATTTTTTGTTCTATATCCGATTTTAGTTGTATATTTGTTTGAAATTTTTCATTATTATTCGAAAGAGAATTTTTTGTATGTTCATAATTTTTTTCACAACGATTAAGTGAATCACGATTCGATTTTAATTTATCATTAACATTATCAAGATCTTTTTTTAAATTGGCTACTTTATTTTCGGCATCAGTTTGCTGATCACGTAATTGATTTATCGATGCAGTAACATTATTCAATCGAGTTTGAGTTTGTTTTATTTCATTTTGTTTATTGTCTAATTCAAATTCTGTTTGTTTCATATTGTCAAATAATTTTTGTTCACGATTAGTTAATTTTGATAAATTTGTTTTCATTGTTGAAACTTTATTTGCTTGTTGTTGTACTTTTGTACTCATTTCTCGATATAATTTGTCATATTTAGTTAATTCTTGTCGTTTTAATTGCTGTTCTTTTTCGAGTCCTTTTTTTTGTTCCTGTAATTGTCTTATTGTCGATGTTGTATGATTTAGTTTATCCCTTTTTGATACTAGCTGTTGTTGTATTTCACCTAGTTTTTGTTGTTTTTGTGATATAGCATCTCTTAACTCGTGTACACTTTTCTTTTCAGCTTCCATTAATTGTTGCTGATGTGTACAATCACGTTGTTTTGATTTTTCACTATTTTTCTTTTCACCCAAAGTACGTTTTAATATTTCTGTCTGGTCCTTTAAACGTTGTACCGTAGTAAGCTGTGTTTAATAATTATTTGTTGTTTTTGTTAATTCTGTTTGATTATCTGCCATTGTTTTTTTATGTTCTGTCATTTGTCGTTCATGTCGTTGAAGTATTGTTTCCGTATCAGATATTTGTGATTTAAAATCTTGTTGCTGAGTTTCATATGTTACTTTTTCTGATTCATATCGTTGTAAATTATTTGTTAAAGTATTTACTTCTGTTTCAGAACGTTCTAATTTTTGTGCAATTATTCGTAAATTTGAATCAATATTTTTTTTATCTTTGACTGCTTCTCGATATGCTGCTGACAAACGTTCATATTCTGATTTACATTGCTGTGCATGAGATTTTGTTGTTTTCGCTACACGTTCTTGGTCTGCTAGATCTTTTATTGTTTCTAATAAGTTTTGTTGACATTCAATTCGTTTGTCTTTCGCTTCGGAAAAATTTTCTCTAGAAGTATTATATGCTGTCTTTTTATTTTCTAGTTTGCTTATAGCTTGATCTAATTTACCTTGAGCTTCTCTTATCGCTGTTTCTTTTTTCTCCCACAATTTTGAACCGTTAAAAAAGATATCAAGTATCTCAACAAACCAATGTAGACTGTGTTGTGCATCTCGTAATCTGGCTTCAGCTACTCTTACCTCTTGTTCAGCAGATCGTAATTCATCTAGACCATGATTCATTTTCAATTGTGCTTGATTTTCTTTTTGTTGTTGTGATGCTAATTTTGATTCTTCATTGCGTTTTTGTGATATCAACTGTTTTAATCTTTGTTCAGCTTCTTTAGCTTCATTTTCAGCTTGTTGTAAATCACGTTGCGCATTTTCTTTTTCATCCTTTAAGTTATCACAACGAGTTTCAGCTTGTAATGATTCTGATTGTAAACGTTCTTCTTGTGATCGCAATTCTTCTAATTCATTTTGTGCACGAGATAAATTTTCTATTAAATCATTTATTTTATATTGTGTATTTCTTAATGATTCATCTATTGTTGTTAATTTTTGTTTTAAAGTATTCAATTGTCGTGTTAAATCAGCACGTTGATCTTCTAATTGTTGCCATTCTCTTTCTAACTGGCATTTTTGATTTTCTAACATTTTCTTTTCACTTTCTAATTCTTTTAAACGTGATTCTTCTTCCATATATTTATTCTGATTTTCTTCTAATTCTTCACTTAATTTTTGTATTTCTTCTTGTAAAATTTCTAATTGTTCTTTTAATTTTTCATTTTGTTGTTTACATTGTTCAATTTGTTGTTCTAATCGTGCAATTCCAGCTTCTTTTTCTTTTAATACTCGTTCTATTTGTAGAATTGCTGCTTGTAACTGTTCTTGTTCTTTTTGTAAATCTTTTATTTTTAATTCTAATTGTTGTCTTTCTTCGTTTAATCTTTCAATTTCTTTAGTAAACTCTTTCATTTCATTTTCCATTTCTTCTATTTGTTGACGTAAATTTTTCAAATGTTGTTCATATTTTTCTTTTTCTAATTGTTCTTGTTCGAATAAGGTTTGTTGTTGTTCAAATTCTTGTCGTGTTTGTTGAATTAATTGCTGTAATACATTTAATGAAAGTTGTAAATAATTTTGTGTTTTGATATTTCCATTTTCTTTTTGTTTCATATCATTTAGCTGTTGTTGTAAATTTTGCTCATCTTTTTCTAATTTATTTTTTATTTCGATATTTTGTTTCAAATCGTTTTCTTGTTGATAGATGGTTACTTGTTGATCTTGAATAAATGTTTGTTGTTGAACAATATCATTATTCGATTGTAATTGTTGATTGATAAGTTGTTTTTGATCATTTTCTAATCGTTTCATTTCTTCAATGTGATCGTTTAATTGTTGTAATAACGTATTAGTTTCAACGGAATTTTCATTAATTTCTGATGTTATTTTATCATTTTCACGTTTAATTCCATCTTGTTTTTCTTTGGCTTTATTATATTCATTTTTACAATGTTCGGTTGCTGCTTCTCTTGTTTCTTCAATTTTCTTATTTTCAGATAAATATTCATTATCAAGATAAGAACTATCTTCAGTTGGTCCTGATCCGGCCATAATTGAACTATATTCTAGAAAAAAAATTCTTGGTGGTTTTAAGAGGAGCTACCGGGACTTATTTTTTGGAGATTTATTTCTTCTGCAGGATTTATTTATTTAGTGAGAATTTATTAGGATGTATTAACTGTATCAGTATGTCGGCGCACCCACACTGGATATGCATGTATGCACTGAGTTGTGTCAATATTCCAGCGCACCCACACTACAGGTATGTATGCATGTACTAAGGAACTGTGTGAGATTTATTTTAAAATACATACGGATTTATTAAAAAATTCCAATAAATCCCAAAAGATAAGTCCCGGTAGCCGCTGGATTTTAATCAATTTCAATTGCAGTTTAAATAATTAAAAGTTTTAACTGAGATCTGGTTTCTGTGTGGTTGTAGAAAAAGAAATGCGGATAGCATGGATGCAATACTCATGCGCAAACCTACTCCCACACTCACAAGATGGAATGCTAATATAATTGATGATCGGAAGCCACTACGGCATCATGGAGAGAGTTTTTGAAAATGTTGTTTGAGATAACGATATCAAGTTTTACTAATTCCGAAGGTTTCATAGTATTCGCGTGAGAGCGATATCCCACTGAAAAAAATAATCAAAATTCATGCAGGATCCCGCAGGACTCTGCGCAGGATCTCGCGGGTTATCGATATTAAAATATTTGGCGATGTTTCTTACCTTTACGTAGGATTTTTCTGCTGCCAGCCCTGACAGAACCCTGCATAGTTTATGTAGAGTCAGCATGGAAAAAATTCTGCGTAAAGGTAAGAAACATCGCAAGACTTTTTGACTTATTCAATCCACAAGTTTTTCCCTACGAGATCTGGCAAAATTTTGTTGGTTGAAAGAAAAAGGATTTTGTTCTCCATGTCTATCCTGCGGTATCCAGCAATCTTTTCTCACCAATATCTGTCAGGATGACCATGGAGGAAGTTGTCTGTATTTGATTTTTTTTGGAAAGTTAAGTACTTTTTTCTTATAAAGTTATAAAAAGTTTTCTCGTGTTCAATAAACGTCTAGAAAACGTATACCTTAATATTTTGACTTTAACACGCATTTTCATGTGTACAAAACCAAACTATTAATAGATAGCTGAAAAGAGCTTTTTTATGTCAGGAATATTCTATTTTTTTCCATCAATAAGACATTAAAGTCATTAGAATGATCACGCTACTGTGAAAAAAAGATGTATAGCAAAGCAGAGATATTACGCTATTCTAAATTTCTTCAGCTTTGAATGGTATCTCGTTTCGTCCCGTTTATTTTCTAGCATTCATTTTTTTCTATCAACTGTGTAATAATTAATATTAATATAAGTCATTAAGATAACGTAAGAAACTGATGCATGGCTGGTATATTCATACGTTGATACGTATCAATATGGACTAGTTCGTTTTTCTAAACCTGGATCAATAGCTATTTAATTTTGATGAAGTCATTTTGTATACTCCATGATAGAATTTAACTGTTTAATGGAAAAGCTTTTGCAAAGAAACAATACTCATGAATGAAACAATGGCAAGAATCTGATGAAAAGAGAGGCTGAAAGTTTACACCAATTGTGATAATAAACTGAAGGAATATTTTACACGATTTGAAAATAGTACTTTGTCTGGAACTGAACTTGTAATTTAACGTGGTAAATGTGTTAATACTTTAAAATTACCTGTTTCATTGTAACTCGTAAATAAAATAATAAATGTAACTTATAAAGCCATCTATCAATTTCTTACATTATCTTAATGAATTATATTAATATTGATTAGTATACAGTTGATAGAAAAATAAATGAATAGTTATAAAATGACTAGAATGCTAGAAAATAAACGGAACGAAACAAGTATGGGACGAAATGAGACTAATTCCTTTAAATACTCTGTTGAATGGTACATAATTTAAAAACTTCGATAAAATATGGATGAGTTATAGTTAAAAATGTTAAGGTATACATTTCCGGACGTTTATTCGACGCGTGAAAAGCTTGTATGACTTTACAAGGAAAGATGCAGAAGTACTTAACTTGCCAAAAATAAAAAATACAGACAAGTTCACCCCGCACGGACATTGATGAGAAAAGATTGCAGAATGCCGCAAGGTAGACATAGTGGACAAAATTCACAAGCTACAAGTTTTTATCATCATGAAAAAATCCTACAGACCTTGCAGGGTTTGTGTATTGAGATATCTTGTGCATTACAAGTGATAACAGGAAGGAAAAAATTCTGCAGGCTATGCAAGGTGAAGCATCTGCGAGATATATCCAAGGGGGAAATAGCGGACTCCTGGGCTCTCATCGACTCTTGAAGTTCAGGAGTCCAAGAACAAAAGTGTCCATTTTTTGGGAAGTGATTCCCAAAAAAGAACGCTATTGCTCTTGGACTCCTGGACTTCGGGAGTCCATGTATATGTCATTGTTTTCGAAAAAAACTTATAATTTGACGGAGAAAATGCAATTTTACGCGCCAGCATACTAATTCTACTGATAATTTTGTAATTTAATTTTCTCAACTTTGGAAGAAGCTAGAGCCAAAAACTTTTCACCGTTAAATAAGGCATTATTTATAGTATATATATCATCATTCAAAATATAAAAATTCGAACCTTTGATTTTTCACCAAAATGCCGCCTAAATGCCCACTGTGGGGCGGGCAGAGTAAACTGGTCGGGCTGGCCGGGCTCTAATAGAATAGAAGGTGGGCCGGGTGGGCATGAACAATTCTTGATCGGGGTCCATCAAAAAGTGACTGGACTTCGAGGCCTGATAGGCCCCAAGGGCTATCCTATGGAGGTACCCATAGGTCCTCAAGACCAAGCCTTATGGGATACCAGAGCTGTCAGAACATCCGTGTATGGTGTAAGATAAAAGGTATCTGTGTAAAGTATAAGAAACTGAGAAAGAGTTAAACGTGGAAGTTAGACTATGTAATAATAACCCAGATGCATTTCTTATTTTTCACCGTTTCATACATCTCATCATTTCCTCTTTTCATCATTTCATACATTTCATCTTTTCATTCATTTCATAGATTTCATCATTTCATTCATTTCATAGATTTCATCTTTTCATACATTTCATCTTTTCATCATTTCATACATTTCATCATTTCATGCATTTCATCATTTCAAACCGTGAAATGTTAGAGGTTATGAAAAGATGAAATGTATGAAAAGATGAAATATATGAAATGAATGAAATGATGAATTGTATGAAATGTATAAAATGATGAAATGCATGAAATGATGAAATGTATGAAATGATCAGAAGATGAAGTGTATGAGATTTTGAAAACTATGGAAGATGAAATGTATGATGCTCGCGGTGCTGTAGTAAAGACTATTTTTGTTACACCTTACACGGATATTCTGACAGCCCTCCTCGTAAGCTATGGAGCTGAAGCTGTCGCAAACCTAATGCTGAATCGTTCTTTGACTAACGAGAAACTCAAAGTTGAGCTAAATTTGCCAAATGCAATCGCCTGGACATAATACTATTTGTAAAACAAAACCACTCCATTACGTGACTCAATTACATCGAGCTAAGAAAAACATCCGACACTTACTTCCTAAAGGAAAACTCAAATGCACGCCTCTTACGTCACCCCTAACCCACTATTTCGCCCCACATTCAAAACCAGTTAGTGGATGATGTACGAGTGACGTTTTTATCACAATTTTGAGGTATTCGCCAAAAAGCTCTTGAAAAACTATGAGGACTAGTACTAGCTATCTCTTGAACAGTTAGCAGTACCCGATACCCCCTTCAGAAGTTTGTTATTTGAACTTTGATAGGAAAACGTTTTTCAACAAGACCAGGAACGCCGAATTTGGAGCCCGATTCTGACTATGAAGCTGACGGCTTATTTTCAAATGCTCCATTTAAGTATTGCAGATGAAAGCCCGTGTCACGAAACCTCTACATTTAAAATTTCAGCTCATTTGAACGTGTCTATGAAAAGTGGTAAAAGGTTTATATTTCGAAATTTTATAGGATGATGTATACACGGGGAAAAAATAGTTGAAGTCCGTATTTCAAGTATTTCAGTTGAATCATTACCATGCAAAACGTATTTTTAAAAAATAATGATATATTCTGAAAGCACGTGGAGTTTTCTACCACCCTGTATATTTGCATTTTCGTTCGAATTGCATCGATCTTTTTCGGTCCAATTATAGGCCCCCATCCTGTATATTTTTGTCTTGTCTTCCATTCATGTACTGAAGAATAATTGAGTGATATGAGACATCCTCCTTGACAAACCATAAAAAGCTGGATTTTCTCCTATCGCTGCCGTTTTTAGTTTTAGAAATTCAGGTTGATCGACAATGCAAAGTACTGACAGAACATATACTTATTTGTTTCAAAAGTTATATCTATACTGATAATAATAGGCATAAAAACTTGGAAAT